TTAAGGTACACTAGTGTTTCGTATATAGATCAGTCCAGTTATCTAGAAGCATCCTCTCACCAGTGATGCCTATAAGAAATTGCATGTAGCCTCTTTCATATCTTCTTTACGTATTTATATTTTTTTTATTTCTTGTGTTATCTATATTAATATTATAAAGAGGTAAAGTTTGCGATATTGTGAGTTTGTGAGTTTGTGATGCTGTAGGTGGTAATCTCTAGATCTACTTCTTTCTAAGTATCATAGGCTATATATTATTAGTTTATAAGTCGGAGAAAAAACAGTCGAACGAAAATGTTTCTTACGAACGCTGCCTTAACGATGAGAGATATATGATTATGTTCTAGAGAAAAGTTGTAGAGCTTAATAATGCCTACAAAAAAGTCAGTGACAACATATGTCTAACTTTTATATTTAAGTCACAAAAAGTAGTTTTTTATATTACAAAATAATTTTAATCGGTATAGGTCATGTTTATTGGTCATATTATCAACAATTCTGAATTCTTATCAAAATAATTAAATTTATCGTCTAAAATGTTTAAAACAACAGACTTTTCCCTTTTACTACATATAATTTGGACAAATGGTTAACGAGATAATACGACATATTCGTAGGTATGGAACAGCAAGATGGTTTTTTTTATATATACAATACTAATAGTATACGTCAATCTATCTATACTAATATTATAAAGAGGTAGTTTATGAGTTTGTGACGTTGTAGGGGGTAATTTCTGAATCTACTAAACCGATTTAGATGAAATTTGGTAAGAAGATAGTTTGAGACCCTGGGAAGGGCAGAGGATATATTTATCCCGCAAATCTATATATTATATATTTTTATCCGAATATTTATATATTTTTATCCCGGAATCATCCCTTAAGGGGATGAAAACTGGGATGAAAGTTTGTATAGGAAACCAAGCTAGGGACGAACCCGAGTGAAGAGAGGGTGAGTCACTAGTTATAATATAAATACAATAACTTTTTTACATTTACATATATGTAATCCTAAATCCTTGGTATCAATTTCGGTCAAACAACCCAACTATCTAACCTCTTGAGAATAAACTGTGATCCAAATAATACGACAGTGACAAACCTGTTGACTGACCACAACAAAAATGTTGAATTTACCTTGTATCTGAGAACTATTTTTGTTTCAGAGTGCTTATTGTATTTCAATAGTTACTTGTACTTATAATAAAATTGTATTCAGAATTTTACGAGTACATTATACTCGTATTCTTAACTTTTCTATATTATTAATATTTCGCATATTAGCATTCTACGAATTTATCTTTGATAAGTTCTTTGGTTACCTTTTCTTTTGCTACAAAATATTACTCCATGGAAACAATTTTAGACGTAAGAATTAAAGGCTTCATACGAACAGCCTTTGTCGGTCTCCTTGTAAATTAAATACAATAGCCTTTATTTCTACATGTACAAATTTTTAAAGATGAATTAAACTACATTTATAACTTTGTTAATGTATACTAATATAATATTATAAAGAGGTAAAGTTTGTGAGTTTGTGAGATTGTGAGTTTGTGATGTTGTAGGGGGTAATCTCTGGATCTACAGAACCGATTTAGATGAAATTTGGTAAGAAGATAGTTTGAGATCCTGGAAAGGACATAGGATACTTTTTATCCTGGAAATCACCCCTTAAGATGGTGAAAATGGAGATGAAAGTTTGTATCGGGAAGCAAGCTAGGGACGAACCCGAGCGAAGCGAGGGTGAGTCGCTAATTATTAATATGTATCTTGTAACTTTTATTTAGATTACTGTTTATCAGATACCAGGTTAGGCTGTCTTACGACATAGGACTCTTCAAGTCTCCTCAACATGTGGCTGTCTAGCATTGTCCTTCTATAACTCTTAGGCACATCGCTTTCCCGTATTTTGATCTGCCCGTCTCAACGTTTTTTTCCGTTCATTAGGGTACATTCTATAAGCCCAGCTTCCAACTAACCTGATAGATCCCCATGAGGTTGACAGACCACTATCTACCACTCCATTTAAAACAATATTTTTGTTGCCACGTGATACAAAGTTACACAAACACATACACACGGTAAGCAGTATTAGTTGTTTTAAAGAAAACTATTAATCGCCTCACAATTCAAAGTATAAAAAAAAACAGTTATATTATAATTAAAAAAATACTCTTACAATATACTTTTCTTTAAGTAATTGGGGTTACAAAATTGACGTGGGGTTCTAAGTGGTAAATACATCAGAAATACGATTTTCTTAGTAACATATCAGTCGATTTATTTAAAAATAAACGAAAGTGCTTTTCAATGTAAATCTTAAGATCCATCATTTATTCAAAATCAGGCCAAATCGCTTATCGAATGTCGTATTGAATACTTTTAACCTTTCCGAGATTCTTTTTGGAACTTTTATAAAGTTCTCTAAAACTAATTTATTTGAGTACTTAGGTCTATAACGTATTATTTTGACAGCTGCCTTTTAAATGTATCTTTAGTTAAGTACCTAATTTAAATAAAACTATATTTTTTTGGCAATATCTATGTCTCTGAACGACAAAAATCTTAATCTCTCGTGTTTACTGTAAAGTATTTGAAACATCGGGAACAAGAAATCAAAATAAAGTAGCAAAAGAATACGTTTTATATGAATCTAACGACTAATCCTCAGGTGCGTGCGTCCCTAGATTCGCAAATTTTGTTCAAAATTTCGTGGATTTTTTTGCGCGGAGCCCTAATTCTGTTTTTCTAAAACAAAACTAGTCTAAGTTACACTTTATGGCAATGCCAGTGAAAGTTCCCTCATAAACAGTCCAGCCGTTTCGGAGATTAGCCGAAAGAAACAGACAGACAGATAAAAATATATATACAAAAACTTTTATACGTATTTAGTAAAAAACTGTTATTTCGACATTACAAACAGACACTTCAAATTTATATGTTTGTAGAGATGTCAAAATATATTCTCATAAATCTTAATTAGAATTTCGGGACATAATATAAAAAAGTAATAATAGACGTACAGAAGTAACCATGGCCTTGTACTAATCTATACATATAATCTGTAAATTAAATATTTTTGGAAAATCTTATTGAAATAGTCATTATTAGAATTTATTATTTTTAGAATTTGTGTCTATCTGTCTAGGAACGCATCACGAGAAAACCACCTGACACATATTGATAGGTATGATGATAGCTGGCAATCCGGGGCAACATACAGGTAGTTTTTATTGCGAGAAAACGTCTCATCTCTGAGAAATCTATATTAAAAGTCAAAATGTAACTATGGACGAGTCCGAGCGGGGCGAGGGTGAATCGCTAGTATTGTAATATAATTTAATATTAATTTATTAATAATGCTTGGCAACATATTGAAAATATTTTTAGCATCACATTTTCTCCAATACAATTTAATTAAATCGAAGACGAGCTTATTAAAGCTATACAAAATTTTTCATTTTGCTTCATAGCAGTTTTTAATTATTGTGGAATTTCTATCGATATATGAAAGCGTTGAATTTTTACTTAACAAAGGTTATTTTCTGTACAGAGAAAACAATAGCTCTCATCTATATAATTTTAATATTATTTAGTATTTTATTTTTAATTGAATAAGCTATTCGTATGTGAATCAGCTTCTTTGTATTTTTATTTATTTACTAGCGGCTCACCCTCACTCTCGGGTTCACCTCTAGGAAAACAAAAACAAACCTATCCCACGGGAACCGTTCTTTTTTCAGGTATAAAAGTAGCGTATGTGCTATTCCAGATTATAATCTATCTCTGTGCCAAAGTTCATCCAAATCCGTTGAACCGTTCTGGCGTGAAAGAGTAACAAACATCCATACATCCATACTTACAAACTTTCACATTTATAATATTAGTATAGATTTATACACTTGTACACGACAGTAAAGACATAAATACAGTAAATAAAGTATCAAAAACACAAAAGTGCACAAAAGGCGGTCTTATCACTAATTAGTGATATCTTCCAGACAAGCTTTGGGTTAGGAAATATGGGAGAAGATATTCGTTTATTTTATGTTATGCCTGCTCTGGTTATTAGATGCCTATTAAATATTTAGTAAAACTCAAAGAGCCTATAATATATAACATAGCGGTAAAAAAGATTTTTCAAGTTTTAAAAATATGTCTAAATAATAATTACGTTTTGGTAAATAAAAAAAATAATGAAAATAGGTACCTAATTATTACTGTTTTGTTTAAATTAAAAAAAAAACATGTAAGGAGTTTTTATTCATGATAAAAGACAAATGATTTTCATTTTACGAAGATATACATACGCCAAAAAATACAGTCAAATCGAGAGCCTCCTCATTTATAAGGAGAAATGCGATATCGTAAAATGTCATAGAGATTAAATTGATAAGGTCATAGATAAGAATACTTTTAGGGTTCATTCATATTTTCTCGGCTTAAGGAAAAGCTCAATTCAAATTAATACTTAGCTAATTTTCGCTTTTAAACATCATCAATAATATACTTAGTAATACCTATACATATAATAAAATCATAACTAAGCCGAATCTGTACATTGAATATTTTTTGGAAAATCTTACTGAAATAGACATTATTATCGATACAGAGTCCGAATCTATAGTTTTTATATTGTTTGACTGTCTGTCTGTCTTTTACCGCATCACAGAAAAACCATTGGAGGGATTTTTATGAAATTTGGTATGGTGATAGCTGGTTATCCGGGTCAACATATATGATTATAGATATTTGTTACCGCAGGAAAATGTCTCATTTCTGATAAAAAATACATAAGCTGCAATGTAAGAGTATAATAATATGTAAAACCTAAGTATTTGGTTTTTAGTCATCTGAACGCGGGCGAGGCCGCGGGCAATGCTTAGTCATTATATATAATAATAATGAAGCAAAACCTTTGTTTGGAAAATATATTCTTCTTTCTACTTGACATTGGCGACAGAAACAGGAGAATTGAATTGAATTTAGAAAATATACCTGTAATAATTGAGGACTTGTGCGAAGACTCCCGGGTGTCTATCGAAGAAGTACTCATTGAGCACCGGGTCGTAGTTGGCGAGCGCCTCTGTCAGGCGAGACAGTCGCGTCGCGGGGATCTTCTTCAGCGTCGCCTTGTATGTCTCGTGCCGGATGCCACCCACGTTGAGAACCACGCGGTTTTCCGCGTCCATATTGAGGAGATTCATTTCTGTGGACAAATCCATACTAATATTATAAATGTGAAAGTGTGTTTGTTTGTTTGTCCTTCTTTCACGTCGAAACGGAGTGACGGATTGGCGTGATTTTTTGTGTGAAGATAGTTGGAGACGCTTAGATTGGAGAGTTGGGATTGGAGGGGAGGGAGGGAGAGTGACATAGGCTACTTCTTACCGCGGGAAATTATCTGATTTCCACGGAAAAACACGCCATAATACAATCCAAAAAAATATTAATGAACAGAATTACTTGAAACTTGGTATTAATGATCTTCAATAAAATTAAATCATACATGTTTTAGCATTTTTCAAAATACATCCTATAAGGGGGTAAAATAGGGGATGAGAGTTTGTATAAAATTACATTTTTAGAGATTTTTTTGTGGTTTTAGCGCGAGCGAAGCCGCGTGTACTGCTAGTTATGATATAAATATAAATATGTTGGGACATAAACACACAGCACCATCTAGTTCCACGGTAAGCTACGAGGCTTGGGTTATGGATACCAGATAGTTGATACACTACACATATATAACTTTAAATACATACACGCTATAAATATAAACACCCATTTCTGGAGTACAAACATTTCTACTCATCACACAAATGAATGCCCTCAGTGGGACTTGAACCCGAGACAGAGGCACAGCTAGTAGGTTCACTACAAACTTAGCCAAACGTGTCGTCAATTTTATTTTTGAAATTCTCACAAGTAAAATCGCAAACAATACTTGTAATTAATGCTTCCATTCATTCCTCTAACCGAAATTGTAATAACAGGGTCTGACAGCGGTCGCCTAGTGAATTATTCACGTGATCTTCGAAGGAAAAGTATATGAATATTATGTTAACGTATCCAACCATACACAGTACTTTTTAAGAGTTCCGGCCCTTGGACCTTTTGGAAATCCTATTATAAAGCCTATGCTTTACATCTATCCGTATGTTTATCTTCCATTCAAAAGATTCCACTTTTTGAACTGTTTAGGTATTGGGGTGAAATGTTCGCACAATACGAGTATTATGTAGTATTGCGAACACTGAAAATGAAAAATATGAAAAAATATTTACGAGGATCCTGTCGCGTTAATGTTATATTTAATGCGTATATTACAATTTAGGTTTATTTTGTTGGAAAATACGTATATATAAATATTAAATATATTACACAATGACTACGGCGCCATCTGTGTGCGTGTCCGTTCCGTTTAGAAAAGAGCTGATGCCTGCAAACGACAGAATGGAATTTCTTGATTTATAGCTAAAAACACTATTGATCAAGTCACCTTTAAAACAAAAAAAACTAAATTAAAATCAGTTTATCCGTTTCGGCGCTACGATGCCACAAACAGACACACAGATAGACATGCTAAACTTAAACCTCCCCTATTTCTGTCAGAGGTTAATAAAGAGATTTTAATTATTTTTAATTATATTTGTATAAATATTATTATAATGTGAAAGTTTTTGAGTATGTATGGATGTTTGTTACTCTTTCACGCCAGAATGGTAGAACGGATCTGGATGAAATTTGGCACAAATATAGATTATAGTCTGGAATAACACATAGGCTACTTTTTATCCCTAAAAAATATATGGGTCCCGAGGGATGGATTTGTGTTTGTTTTTCCGAGCGAAGCATGGGTGACTCGCTAGTAATAAATAATTTAAACTTACTGTCTGTGTCTCCTCAACCCAACAACTTCGAATGCACCGCTACGGGGACCGACTTTGGCCGCGGCGCCACATTACTTCTATATAGTCGTCTTCTAGTCGACTAAATCTTGCGTGCGATGTCATTTCTGATGTTGTAAATCTAGAACAAAATTAATATTATTTAAACTTTTACCACTATCTTTGACTTTCCCTTAGTACTTTGATTATGCCTAAGAGTTCTTTATACATATATCGCCTAAGGTCTCCACTTAAGAGATTACATAAGAAAAAGCTTGGCTTCATATTTGGACTCTCTAAAATATACGTGAAAAGCTTGATAATTTTGACATTCATGAAACTTTCTTCTTAGATTTACGCAAATATTTGATATTTTAAATGAAACTTTCTTTTCGCGAAGAAATCTTTTCGCGAAAAAAGATAGTTTTATTCAAAATATTGTCATGGCTGGTTAGAATTAGGATAACTCTTGATAAATTATGTCCTCACGAAAAAATATGGGATAAGTGGCCATTTCCAATTCTTATGTTGACTTAAAATAGCTGTTGTTAGTTTTTATAAGATTTTAGAGTTGAACGTTATTAGGTAATTCGATGTGATGAAAGCTAATAAATGAAAGCTAAAAAATCTGTAAGAATGAAATTAAGCAAATCTCATTCTTATACATTTTGAACGAACGTCTTTGTAAATACGGTTAAAATAGTTATCTACTAATAATATTTTAAGGAGGTAAAGTTTGTGAGTTTGTCTTATTCTGAGTTTGTGACGTTGTAGGGGTAATCTCTGGATTTACTGAACCGATTTAGATATAATTTGATAGGAAGATAGTTTAAGACACTGGGAAGGACATAGGATACTTTTTACTCAGGAAACCATCCCCTAAGGGTGTGAAAATGGGGATGAAATTTTGTATTGGTAAGCAAGCTAGGGGCGGAACCAGAGCAAAACGTGGGTGAGTCGCCATAATTTAATTCTTAGTAGGTATATTAAATATTAAACAGTCTTTACTATTTTATTATACGTTTTGTTATTCTATTTAAAATCCAAAACATTATTTCGTGTTGATTAAATAATATAAATAAAAATTAACGGTTTCGTTTTCGAATTTCATTATCTAACTTTGAAAAGTAGTTTTTAGATCCACTAGTTTTGTTAAACGTCGAAGGTTAGATCTAACCATCAATCTTACTTCCCACGATCTATCACGGGATTTGCTTCTATCGACATCAATGAAGCGTAGATCGACCATTTACTGGGACTGTGTTCATTTAATTTTATTTTAACCTATACCAAAATATATAGAAAAGACGACTTTAGATTTGATATTATACTAGCAGAACCCGCGGCTTCGCTCGCGCTAAAACTACAAAATAGATCTCCAAAAGGTAGTTTCATACAAACTTTCATCACCTCTTTTACCCCCTTATAGGATGAATTTCGAAAAATGCTACAACACCTATTTATTTAATTTTATTAAAGAGTATTAATACCAAGATTCAAATAAATCTGATCATAAATATTTTTTTGGATTGTATTACAAGATATTTTCTCGTGAGAATTAGATAATTTCCTGCGGTAAAAAGTAGCCTATGTCACTCTCCAGCCCTCCAAATATCTCCACACAAACAATCACACCAATCCGTCTTCTCACTCCGTTTCGACGTGAAAAAAGGACAAGCAAACAAACACACATTCACATTTATAATATTAAGTATGGATGATATTCAATTTCCTTCTTAACCAACCCACAAACAAAGGTTGATTATTTTTTGTATGTTAGTTTGGTGTATGCTATTATGAACTGATTTTAAAGATTTTCTTTTAATAGGCAATTTATACTTGCTGCTATTGAATATCTAGAATACATTGCTAACATCTCCATATGAAAAAAAATCCTCTTTTGAAAAACATTTTTTTAAACATTTAATCTTACAGAAAACCATATTTGATTAAACTTTGAATTAAATAAAGGTTTAAGGCGTGGAAAGTGATAAGAACGTGGGAAGTCAGTAAGTCGCACACATGTCGTGTTTATTTTAGAATATTTTCGTATAACAAACTACACCTTCTCGATTCTCTGATCTCGATCTCGATCTTCGATTATTGATTCAAAAATTCAGCATTAAATTATTTGCGGAGTGTGCCATCTTTTATAAAATCACCAGTTGTATTACAACCTTTATCACACAAACGTTCTTTAATGTTTGCAAAAGCTCGAGTGCCTGATTTTTTGGCGATAATTAGATCACGACGCTTCATTCTGGAATCGTTTGAGTGTCTCTAACAGCGAGATCCTTGTGACGTTGGTAAAAACTCTCGACTGCACGATTCTTAAATTTTGGGTTTTGGTGCATCAGGAGGCTAATAGATTTATATAGATTTAGTAATAACTTATGACTGTTAGTATGGAATACATAGACTATAATTATAGTCTATAGGTATGTATATTCCTATATATGTATATATATTAAAATATGATGAGTTTTATATCCCACGATTGATTCCCCATACGAAGTTCCACCTCTCTTTTCTCCCCTTTAAGGAATGATTTCCGGGGTAAAATTTATCCTATGTGCTTCCCAGGGTCCGAAACTATCTCCATAATAAATTTCGTCTAAATCGATTCAGCGGATTAAGCGTAAAAGGATAACAGATAGTCAGACAAACAGACAGTGACTTCGCATTTATATATTAGTATGGATGGTTTATACACTCAACAGTTACGTATTATTTTTAATCTTAGTTTATTTTAATGAAGAGTCTCACAGAATTTTGTTTTTATAATGTTTTGTTTTGACATGCTTATATGCATAAGTGCTGTAAAAAAATATTGACTTGTGATAGCTACATATATGTTAGTATATTGTAAATTGGGTTTATACTTTGCAATAAATATTAATATTATTATTAATGTTTTTTTTTTTAAATTTCAGATCATCTAAATATACTGCAAAGTAACATCATGGTCACTGACGTTATATAAAAAATATAGCGCGAAATATCATAGCTATATACGAGTAAATACGTAACAAAAGTATATTCTTAAAGCCTGTCCTTATTAAAGTAGTACAATTTCGCGATCCATGCGCGACGGATTACACCCAACACTTGCTAAGCGAAAATAGACCTTATTGTTTAGATTTAGAGTCTATTTTGTGTATATATTTTTTAACTTTTTTTACCGCTGGGAGCGATATGAAACGTAGCTACGCAGAACAAAAGACGTGCCGCAGACTGAAAATTGTACAGATAAAAAATAAAAAGAACAAAAAAAAGTTCAATTTCACGTACATCTAGGGTATGATTGTACCTGTCTACGAAGTTGCAGGGTTATAGGTTTTATTTGCTCTAGAGAAATTGTATTTATCTTAATAAATATAATCTGACGGCACGTTTGGCTCAGATTTGTAGTGACCCTACTTGCTGTGCCAGCGGTCGCGGGTTCGAGTCCCGCTGGGGCATTCATTTGTGTGATGAGCACGAATGTTTGTACTCCAGTCATGGGTGTTTATATTTATAATATGTATGTATTTAAAGTTATATATGTGTAGTGTATCAATTATCTGGTATCCATAACACAAGTCTCGTAGCTTCCATGGAACTAGATGGTGTTGTGTGTTAATGTCCCAATATATTTATAGGAAAAGTACCAATTATGGAATACGTTCCTAATATGGAACACCATAATATATCTAAAACTAAGCACCACGAATATTCTAGACGTATGTCATAGTATCCCTCTCGCTACCCGCGTTCGACGGCCAGTGGGAGTGTGGCTTTTGGCAGCACTAGATGCGAGTAAGAGTGCGCGACACTGTTGACGAAACATCCATTGGATATTTACATAAGCTTTACGTATATGTTCTCTTATTATTCTTACATGAATATTTCGATATAAGTTGGTGAGTATCTAATCGAAGTATGTAGTTTTTAAATGGTATTGTTATTTTATGAATATTTAATAATAAAAAAAAGTTATATTTTTTATCCTCCCGTCATCATATTGTTCGTAATATGGAATATCGTCGAGTTCCTAATATGGAATACTAGTCCATATTAGGATCTCAACGTAAGTAAGTTTTTAATGTGGTGACTTATTACTATTTCTCTCTTTTACAAATATATTCATGATCAACATGGATTCGCCAGTAAAAAACCGAAAAGCCTGAAACAAAACCAATATGGAAAATGCTATTGAAGCGGTGAAAACCCAAACAATGGGTTATAAGAGAGCTGCACATGTCTTTCATATAGCCACAGCCATCATCGAGAGAGGCTGTCAGAAAAACAAGCAAATGTAGAAACCAGTGTTGAAGTCTGAATCATCTTTTGATAGAAATACCATCTTTATCTAATGATTATAGTGACGATAAGCCCGCAGTTACTCAACCGTACGATCCAAATGCTGACGCCGGGTGCATTTATTGCTCTGTTTTTTTCAGTAAAGACAAAAAGGGAGAAGAGTGGATTCGGTGCATTGCCTGTAGACAGTGGTGTCACGTTGCGTGTTCCGGATCAGAACATGCAGATTTTATTTGTGATTTTTGCTTGCAGGGTTGATTTTATTATTTTGTTTTGATTAACGAGACGTGATCCTATTATGGAATAGGGTATTCCATAATAGGATCACATTTTTGAGAAGCAATTTTTGGTTGATTTATTTTAGTTAATAATATTATGGAAAGTGTTTATTATTTGTTGATTTCATTATTACTTTTCAAGAGTGATTACGACTGCATTTAATTGTAAACCATTAAACTGATTAAAATAAAACTTTTGTACTGATTTTTTTCAGAATTTGTTTATGTATTCCATATTCGGTCCTTCTCCTATATATTTATTTATTTATCTTACACTAGTGACTTATACTTACTTCGTACAGGTCTTTAGGTGCCTCTTTGTATTTATAATACAATATATACAGACAGCCGTAAGTCAAATATTGTGGTTTGTCTTTGATCTACTCATGTTTATAGTCTATCTACATAATATTTATGTACTAAATTTCACCAAATCGTTCCAGCGTGAAGAAGGAACAAACATAAACACCTACAAACTTAGATATTCATAATAATAACTAGATAACTATAACTAGATAACTAACACGTTTTAACGTTTAGTATAAATTTCTCAGAGATAAGATAATATTTTCTCGCAGTAAAAAGTACCTAACCTAAATATTAACCCGGATAACCAGCTATCATCATACCAAATTTCATCAAAATTTGGTATTTCCGTGATGCGGTCACAGACAGACAAACAGACAGACAAAAGTTATAAAAACTATAGATTCGGCTACTTTATTAATAATAATGACTATTTCAATAAGATTTTCAAAAAAATATTTAATGTACAGATTCGGCTTAGTTACAATTTTATCATATGTATAGGTAAATCCATTTGTTATACAAATATTTCACATAAAAGATTTGTAAGGTATTTTGGTGCTATTTTTGTATTTTTGAAACCGTTGTATGTGGGTAGGTGCTATCTATAACAACTATATAATGACCTCTGAGACGTCTAAAACCTTATTTTCTTCCATGATCATGATTGCTGTAAAACATTCGAAACGTCGGGAACGAAAAAACTAAATAAATCATCGAAAACATCCGAAAAGATGGTGTTATTTAATCCCTCCACGACCGCGGACACGCCGGCGTGTCAGTTAACTAAAGATTTCTTAGAATTTAAATTAATTTCTTGGAAATTTACCTGGAAGTGTTAAAATACAAAAAAAAACCCTCCGTTTCATTTATTTTATTTACATTACACTCCCATGATAAAAATAAAAATTTATTTAAATAAATAATAATTGGCCATAGATAAAAAATCTTTACATAATATAACATTAAATTCACTCGCTCGTAAACGTTGCTGAAGCTTATAATACAAACAACATTGCTAACCATGTATCAATCATCGATATTTTGTAGTATTTGAACTCTGTATTTCATGTCCTATGAGAAACGGAAGTCATTTTATTTGGTTTATGGGATTTATTGTAACATGACCCGTATGTACAGGCTGACATTAGTTGATAATATTAGTATGTACTAGCATTGCCCGCGGCTCCGCCAGCGTTCAGATGACTAAAAACCAAATTCTTAGGTTTTACATATTAGTATACTCTTACGTTGCAGTTTTTGTATTTTTTTCACAGAAATGAAATATTTTCCCGCGGTAAAAATTACCCTATATGTTGACCCGGATAACCAGCTATGACCATAGTAAATTTCATAGAAATCCCTCCAGTGGATTTTCCGTGACGCGGTAACAGACAGACAGACAAAAGTTCTAAAAACTATAGATTCGGCCTCTGTATCGATAATAATGTCTACATATTTCAATAAGATTTTCCAAAAAATATTTAATGTACAGATTCGGCTTAGTTACAATTTTGTTAAATGTATAGATTGTAATTTTCTTCCATCGGGTAATTCCGATCATTTCGACGCCTCCCACGCATTAGGTCGTAAGACCATAATATGTATTTTTTCAGGAGAGACATTTTTATGAACATTATTGTTATAATTGACATGTGAAACATTTTCAACTGGTGTTTTTGCACTATATGATCAATAATTAGTTTAAGAACATTATACTAGGCTCTGCGTGTTATAAAAAAACATATTTACACAGAAATAGCCAATTTTAATTACATACGACCTTATACTGGTTGCAAAAACGTCGTATCTTATTGTTGCGACCTTATGCTTCAAATCAGATGGATATAGACAACGCGTAAGTTTAAATTACGACTTTATGCTGCGTGTAAACTCATCTTCTTATCTCTGAAAAAAGGGTCGTATGGAGGTAATTGATGAAAAAAAGCTTGACAAGTTTTAGCTCAAATCAACTTTATTAAAATAACTTTAATCGTAGGTATATAATTCAGTCCTCTTGCATCATTACGATCATTATATTAATGACTTACGTAAACTTTTATAGAAAAAAACATAAATATAACTTTTCAAGAATTAAACAAAACTAAAGGCACTCATGACATTTAAAAGTAATCAAAATTATATGAACTGGCATTAATCAGTCTTTTAAAGTCTCAGATTAGTTATTTGGGTTTATTCATACAAATAAAAATATATAAAAAAAGAATAATCTGCACCTTGTTAAATAATACAAAACATAGGTAACTAATAATTATAATAAACTTATACAAAATTAAAAAATAATGATAAGTAAAAACTACTTAAAATTAAATACTTAGTTATTTTGTTCGTAATATTTATGACAGTATAACAACGGATTATAAAATGTAATCAAAATGTATGCTTCTGTTCTGTTCTGCAAAAGTTCCACTGTGTGACAATTGTTGATAAACTTAATGGTAGGCGTACTTATTATATATCCTTGACAAAGACTCAAAAATCTTTAAATTTTGCTGATGTAATAGGTAAATGGTCATTATTACACTGATTCAAAACTTCTGTATGTACTAGATTATTAGTTTTTCTTCTTGAGGAATAATAATTCTGCCTTTTTTAGTTATTAAGCTCATAATATGAGCATTATAACACATAATATCACTTGACACTACCTTCTCTAAGTTTGGTTCATGATATTTTTTGATATGAAGTATTTATAATCCTATTTCTACCATCCAGTAAAATTTTATAGTTATAAAAATCTATAACAATAATTTCAATCACATTATAATTAGGAGGGTTGACTTTTGACCATCTAACTAAGGCAAACCATTTGCAGGGGTATATATTAGCTTATTTTTAGCATTTCTTTTTATTAAAGCATGAACAACGTCACGCTCTAAAAACCTATGAATTAAGCTTATACCATACTTCTTACCTGCATAGCTATAAAATGCAAATACAATGTGATTTCGATTTTGACCGGTACAATTATCGGATCAAAACTTGAATTCTTTAACACCATTATTTACTTTGGTCTCAATTTTCGTATGACCCGTGCTTGCCATTATTTTCGGGCCACATGTAACAAGTAAGCTTCTTCTAATTTACGAATGTTTATACTCCAGTCATGGGTGTTTATATTTATAATAATATGTATTTAAAGTTATATATGTATAGTGTATCAACTATCTTGTATCCATAACTCAAGCCTCGTAGCTTACCATGTAACTGGATGGTGCTGTGTGTTAATGTCTTAACATATTTATTTTATTTATTTATTCTTGACTATATCTATAAATTGACAATATTCTTTTATAATTAATTGGCCTACATTATCATGAGGGCAGTTTAAAATCTTTTGGAAATCGAAACACGCAGTAATTATTTTTCTTTTGATTTCTAAAGTTTATTTTTTATCTCTCGCCTTAATTTCTCTAGCTATAGTCTTGTTTCTCATATCATTTTCTTGTTTTTGCTTTTCTTCTATAGTGATTATATACATTTTTTTGCATTATATATAAGACATTACATATGTCCTTTTTCGGTTTATGAAATGAAATATTCAAATTTTGATTTATGATATTACGGTACTGTCTAACTGTCTTTGCTTTTTTAGCTATATTTATTCTTTTCAGTAGCACACCACTCATTGTACAAAGAAAACATTTTTGTAAATGTAAGATCACTGTCCAGGTAAAGCTTAGTGATTCCTGTGTAATTTCTTCAGCACATGATCCTAAATCCATACATCTAGCAGGGTTTTCATTTGACGTAAAAGAAGAAGTCGTGAGTAAAATTGCTGTTGAACTGATACTATTTAAATTGATAAATGTTGCCTTGTGAATACTTGGTATAGAACTCCCACTGTTGTTCAGCTTTAATAGGCACCGATGATTCTGAAAACAAAACCATATTAATAAAAGACTTGGTACAAAATACACATAGCTTAAAAATCAAATATAACTTATATAATAATATAACTGTACGCCTTTTATTCCTGTAAGGGTTAGACAAGCCTGTATAAATACATACATACACATTTCATCAACCTTGCCTTTAACCGGGCACAATTTTTTACGCCTCTCAGCTGCCTCACTTACGAAGAGCCAGCGAGGCAGATAAAAGCCAAAAACACAATTTTAATGATATTTATGGCTATATTTAATAATCAAAAAAATGTAACTTTATTTAGCAACAAAGCATAAAGTCTTATGTCTATGTTACGTCTTTATACGTTCATTTAATTTTAAATTGCAACTACGCATATGGTCGTAACAATAAGTTACGACTCCTAGAGTAGAATTATTGCGTAGTATAAAGTCTTAACTGACCACTGCCAGTGATTGTTAACGGCACATACAGTCGTAACATAGATATACCGACGTTATGCGCCGGAAAAGTAATTTTATTTATTGTTGACAATTGAACGCTATCACATATTAATATTATTTTTTCCTACGATAATATGGCATAGTAAAGAAGTACATTTCATAATAATATACGAAAATGCAATAAAACTTACCTTTTCTAAGATGTTCACCGGCCGTTATGACTTCGCTGTTTGGGTTTAACTTATTTAACACTATTTTCAAAATCTTTGATGAACGTACGTTACTCATTTCTGAAGTATTAGTTTTAATTATAAAAAAAAACAACAACAACACCACATAAAACTTTTGTTCAATATTATTTTTAACATTCAAAATTGTGACAACGATTGTGTCATACGACGTCGTTACTGTGCTCTCATTGGCATGTGCGCGGCCCAATAAACCGGTGCACATCGTCGAAACTAGCGGTGCGACTGTATGCGAGGGAGCGTTCAAATGTTAAGACTATTATCCATTTGAAAATTCATTATTTATAGAAGATATTAATTTTCTGAATTCACTAATATTTAATATGGTATAATATGGTTACAATGGGACAAAAATATCATTTTACTCAAAAAATGAGTTCCGACTTTATGCGTAGGAGGCGTCGATTTGTATTCGTGTAACTACTAAATATGAAGCGAGCTTTTAAGAGAAATAGCATGAAAAGATGTACGAGTCGATTCGAGCTACCGTTTTAATTGACTTATTTGTGAATTTGAATTGAATCTTACCTACGTTTTAATTAAAACTATTATTTGTATTTTGTACAGTAAAAGAGTTAAAATTAAATTATCTTTGGTTGTTTTCAAGTACTGTGCACTGGTTAATAAAGAAAATAAAGAAAATTATGCATAGATAAAAAATACTAGAAATGTAGCTTTAATGCCTCTTAAGGATAAATTGATAATTATAATTTGTATGATGTTTACATTCCTTGACCCTATATAGTTTTGTATGAATTTCTAACTAGATAGAGCTTATATGCTAGATGGAACTTTTCACAGCAAAATTAGTATACGTATAACTTTGATTCCCTGGTTTTTTTTTCTAGTTATAGCCTCAGAGTTACTCTATATTCTTAGCAAGTAGAGATTGGTCACGTCACTATGTTTTAAACCTATTTAAAAAAGGCAGCCGTACTCAATTTTTCTGCCTTTTTGTTGTTGATATGTTACTCGATATCTTCACCAACTGTGGTTCAATCTTGAAAATAATTTCTATGTTTAATGAATATATTATACCTCAAAGGTTTCAAAATTCCACCATTAGTGATGGTTTTTAGTACATAGTGATATAAATAAAATGTACATATATAAATGCGAATGACGGACCCTTGAATTGACCAATCAAACGAGCCTAGGCTTCCCACTACATCCAAGTGTTGCTAATATTTACAATTTATCTAGAGTAATTACAATGTCACTAAATATTCTCAGTGAATTTATAATGTAACTAACATTGTTTCGTGATGTTTAAAAAAATGGAGACGATTGACAAAAGTCCGTGCAATTATAATATTACTAGTTAAATTATAATCTCACTTCTTCTAAAATATCGACATAAATATGTTTTACTTGCAATTCAAGAATATATTACCTAAAGGCAGTTTTACCAGAATATTACGTTCCTCCAATATACCGTGAGATATATTCTTTTATCATATTTTATTGCTTACCCTACTTTTGATGCCAAATTTGGAAAACGTATTAGATTTGTTCGAAGTCTCTGAATAGAGATTGTGTAAAAATAGCAAGTTGCTTTAAATAAATTATAATTTGTTGCATTAACACATAGCATCCTCTAATGTAAGCATCCATGGTAAGGAGGTACGAGGCTTGTGTTATGGATACCAGATAGTTGATACACTACACATATATAACTTTAAAACATACATAATATAAATATAAACACCCATGACTGGAGTACAAAAATTCGTGCTCATCACACAAATGAATCTCCTGCGGGATTCGAACTCGCGACCGCTGGCACAGCAAGTAGGGTCACTACAAACTCAGCCAAAGAGGTCGTGTCTTATATGTAGTCTATGATTTTCACTTAGTATAAGCTATACATACATAAAATGAATATTCTAGTCAATAATTTTGTAAAAGCTATATTAAAGGATAATTCTAAGATTATTAATAAAGAAATAAAGAAAAACCAGTTCAGGACCGTTTTCTCCTCTGTTTGTTAACCGATTTTCTCCGTTTTTATTTAGTAGCTTTTGACGAGCTTTATTGTTATCAATAAAAAAATTAGGAAACAGTTCATTTTGTATATAGAAAGTCAATTTTCTATTCATATAAGTTTTCCTCAAAATGGTCAAATTTGGACCACTAGATGAACAATAGTTAAAACTAAACGGGTTTGTGTTTCACCATTGAGATCAAAGTAAGTGGGAGTGAGACCCTTCTACTGATTGTTATACCCCATTATTATATTTTTCTTTCTAACTACTTCGCAAGGGTAATGGAGAAGGGCGTGTTAATGCCCACAAAGGCTACAACCTTGATTTTGGTTTTTATATAATTTTAGTTTGCATGCATTATTAAGCTTTTTATTTTTAAATTGTTTATTTGCGTTCCTTGTTATTGGAAACTTAATTATATATTTACATTAGCGACTCATCCTCGCTACACTCGGGTTTGTCCCTAGTTACGTTTTAACGGTTAGTGTAGATATCTCGGAGATGAGATGTTTTCCCGCAGTGAAAAGTATTCTATATGTTGACCCGGATAACCAGCTATCATTATACAAAATTTCATCGAAATCTGTCCAATGGCTTTCTCATCATGTGGTCACAGACAGACAGAAAGACAAGAAAACAAAAACTATAGATTCGGCTTCTGTATCGATAATAATGACTATTTCAATAAGATTTTCCAAAACATATATATTTTATCTATAGATTCGGCTCTGTTAGGTCGTATGAATATATTGTATGAATTTTAACATATTTAAACTGTTATAATTAAGAAAGTAAAAATACCATAATTTAAAACCTAAGCTATTTAAAATAGGGTCACTGAAAACTTTTGTCAAGCAACAAATCATATGGCGACGTCTTCTATTAAAGTCCGAGCACAATCTGACATTTCAGCAAGAGTAATAGTCTACACTTTAGGTCATAAAACAAATTTCAACGTCTTTGCATGAATTTGGTTGTATTATTATATTAATATTTACATATTAGCAAGTTACCCATTTGCCATAGAACTCCATTTCATCTCCATAGAGGATGACTTAATTTTTTTTTTGGTGTACTAAGTTTCATCCAAATCCGTTTCAGTGCGAAGGAGTAACAAACGCACACACACATACTTTCGTATTTATAATAATAATTCAATTCATTTTCAAATTCGGGTTTTTATTAGTTTTATTATTATCTTTCCTAATATATGAAATTAGTAAAAATATTAAAATTAATAAAAACCCGAGCGAAATCAGGGTAAGTTGCTAGGTTTATATAAATCAATAAAGGCTATAATCTACATTGAATTAATTTACCATGTTGATCCAATTCGTAACATGGATTTCCGGTTACCAGTGTATAAACTAATTCTCCTTTAATTTCCATTGGAACATCCGATGAATTGTATAATAGCTGTATAGGATCTACAGTTTTATCTATACAGTTTAATCCTATATAATCGATAATATTAGACACTAGCGACTCACCCTGGCTTCGCTCGGGTTCGTCCCTAAGTTGATTTCCCATACAAACTTTCATCCGCATTTTCACCCCCTTAAGGGATTGATTGATTTCTGGAATAAAAAGTGTCTGGAATAAAATGTCCTTCCCAGAGTCTCAAAATATCTTCTTAGCAAATTTTATCTAAATTGGTTCTGTAGATCCAGAGATTACCCCCACAACGTCACAAACTCACAAACTTTACCTCTTTATAATATTAGTGTAGAAGAGGTAATGATTTTTAGTTAGCCAGCAGTTATATAGTTAAACATATCTGTGTTCTTCTATCTAGAAGAAGTCGAAGTCCGTGCCAGCAGATACAAAGCAAATCTAATACATACATATTACATTTATTTCGACACGTATAATATTATAACTATATAAGAGTTCATACCTAATCATATTTACCTATTAGATATTCATATCTTAAAATATTGTCAGCTGGCACCGACTTCGAAAATATCTGATTAGGTATGTATTCTAAATGAAAACCTCGGTTTAGTTATTTTTAAATTTTAGTGCTTGGAAGTCGGTTTTATTTAAGTTTATATTTTTACATTTTTAGTGTAGACGTAATAAGCGGGTAATTTGTAAGAACAACGTTTTTTAATAACATATTCGAATAAGCAATTTAAAAACCGCTCGACCGAATAAAATTCAAATGAAGAACCCTTTGAAACAAAAAATAATTCAAATCGGTTCAGGCGTCTTCGAGTAATTATAACAACAACATCAAACATACATTAAAAACGTTTTTGAAAGTCGGTTAAAAATTCAAAACAATAATTTTTAGAATTTTCGTCTGTTTGTCGGTTTGTCTGTGCATTTGTGCGCGATAATCTCAGAAACGGCAAAATCATTTTGGGTGCAGTTTTCATGATGTAGTATAGTGGTAGGCTTCACTTAACATTTAGTATATGTTTTATTTCAATCAGTTCATAAAAAAATTATGTCAATGTAAAGAATCACTTAGGGACGAACCAGAGCAAGAATGACTCGCTAGTTTAGAATAAATTCTTTCCTCAATTTTGCCCTCGTAAGTAGCGTTTTCTTAATGTTTTATCCAGTAATCTTGTATAACACGCTATCTTTTATATAACCATAAAAAAGTACTTTTAAAATAGCATTAAAATTAAACGAAAATGCATTACCAGGATTAAAGTAACTTATTTAGACGTCTGAACAAAAGAGTCTAGGATATTATCGTGTCCAGAACTTTTATCCAAGTTCAATATCATAATATTATGGAATTAATTGTATAATAGGATATCATATTGCTATGTACCTATCTATACAGACAAATAAAACTGAAGTGTCTGTTTGTAATGTCAAAATAACAGCATTTTACTAATACATACTCGTATTAAAATATATTATACTGTATTAATATTTTTTTTTTGTCTTTCTGTCTGTTTGTTTGTTTCGGCTAATCTCCGAAACGGCTGGACCGATTTTGACGGAACTTATACTGGCAGATAGCTGATTTTATAAGGAGTAACAGGCTTTGAAAAAGAATCAGGGTTCCACGAAAAAAAATTATGAAATTGTGAAC